CAAAATCCACTAGTACAACAAAAATGCAAACAAGAAAGAGAAACAAACTATATCTAACCACCTCAAAAAACCAACACAGAAGACAAACAATAAAAGGGAAATAAAGGAACAGAAGATATTTAAAACATCCAAACGAAAATCAATAAAATGCCGAGAGTAAGACAATACCTTTCAATAAATGTAAATGGAATAAACTCCCCACTCAAAAGACACACACTGATTGGATTAAAAAGCTAGACCAACTTATATGCTGTCTTCAAGAGACTCACCTCACCTGTCAAGACACACACAGACTAATACTGAAGGGATGGAAAAAGATATACCACACAAATGAAAATCAATAGTGAGTAGGAGTAGCTATTCTCATATTAGATAAAACAGACTTCAAATCAAAAACCATAAAAAGAGACCAGGAAACCATTATATAATGATAAAACAATCTATCCAGCAAGAAGACGTAATAACCATAAATATATATGCACCCAACACCAGAGAAGCCTGATATGTAAAACAAATACTGTTAAACCTAAAAAAAAGAGAAAACCCCAAAAGGATAATAGTTGGGGACCTGAACACACCCTCTCTCAGCACTGGACACATCTAGGCAACAAATCAAGAGAAAAACACAGGATTTAAACTACACTTTAGACCAACTGGACCTGGCAGATATCTACAGAACATTTCATCCAACAACTACAGAATATACATTCTTCTCATCAGCACATGGAACATTCTCTATGGTAGACCACATGTTAGGTCACAAATCAAGTCCCAGCAAATTTTGAAAAACTGAAATCATTTCAAGTATTTTTTCAGACCACAATGGATTAAAAATAGAAATTGATAATAAGCAGAACTCTTAAAACTATACAAATACATGGAAGTAAAACAACGTGTTTCTGAACTGCCTGTGGGTCCAAGAAGAAATCAAACAGGAAATCAAAAATTTCTTGAAACTAATGAAAATAAAGACACATCATACTAAAACCTGTGGGATACTGCAAATGCAGTACTGAGAAGGAAGTTTACTGCAATAAATGCTTATGTCAAAAGAATAGAAAGATTTCAAATAAACAACCTAACATTACACCTCAAAGAACTAGAAAAACAAGAACAAACCAACGCCAAGATAGGTGACAGAAAGAAATAACTAAGATCAGAGCAGAACTAAACTAAACTATAGACCCCCCCCAAAAAAGATACAAAACATCAATGAAACAAAAAGTTGGCTTTTTGAGAAGATAAACAAAATAGACAAACCATTAGCTATGCTAACTAAAGAAAGAGAGAAGACCCAAACAACAAAAATCAAAATTGAAAAAGGAGACATTACGACTGATACCATAAAAATACCAAAATCATTTGAGATTATTACAAACAACAATATGCCAACAAATTTGAAAACCTGGAGGAAATGGATAAATTTCTGGACAAACTACCAAGACTCAAGCAAGAAGACACAGAAAACCTGAACAGACCAATAACAATCACTGAGACTGAGGCAGTAATAAGCAGTCCCCAACAAAAGAAGCCCAGGACCAGATGGCTTTACTGCTGAATTCTACCAAACCTTTAAAGAGGAATTAATACAAATTCTCTTCAAACTATTCCAAAAAATGGAAACATAGGCCACTCTGCCAAACTCATTCTATGAGGCCTGCCTCACTCTGACACCAAAACCAGACAGAGATACATCAAAAAAAGAAAACTATAGACCAATATCTCTGATCAATATAGATGCAAAAATCTTCAACAAAATATCAGCAAACAGAATACATCAATACATCAAAAAAATTATATACCATGATCAAGTGGGATTCATCCCAAGGATGCAAGAAATTAAAGAGGACACAAAACAGATGGAAAGATATTCCATGCTCTTGGATTGGAAGAATTAACATCGTGAAAATGTCCATATTACTCAAAGCCATCCACAGATTCAATTGGATCCTCATCAAAATACCAATGACTTTCTTCACAAGAAGAGAAAAAAAATCCTAATATTCATATGCAACAACAAAAGACCCTGAAAAGCCAAAGCAATCCTGAACAAAAAATAAAGCTGCAGGCATTACACTATCTGACTTCAAATTATACTTTAAAGCTACAGGAACCAGAACAGCATGATATTGGCATAGGAACAGACACTCAGACCAATGGAACAGAATACACAACCCAGAAATCAACCCACATACTTACAGCCAGCTGATCTTTGACAAGGGCAACAAGAACATACAATGAGGAAAAGAAAGCCTCTTCAATAAATGATGCTGGAAAAACTGGACATATGTATGAAGAAGAATTAAACTAGAACCATACCTCTCACTATATACTAAAATCAATTCAAAATGGATTAAAGACTTAAATATAGGAGCTAAAACTATAAAACTCCTAAAAGAAAACATAGGAGAAACACTTCAGGAAGTAGGACTCAGCAAACCCTTTATGAATAAGACGCCAAAAGCCCAGGCAACAAAAGAAAAAACAACGAATGGGATTATATTAAACTAAAAAGCTTCTGCACAGCAAAAGAAACAATTAACAGCAAAAAACCTACGGAAATGGGAGAAAATACTTGCAAACTACATATCCAACACAGAATTAATATCCAAAATATACAAAAAAACCTGCAGAATGGGAGAAAATATTTGCAAACTATGCATCCAACAAGGGATTAATATCCAAAATACACAAAGAACTCAAACAACTTAACAATACAAAAACAAGCAACTCAATCAAAAAAATGGGCAAAGGAGCTGAATAGGCATTTCTCAAAGAATACACAAATGGCCAACAAACACATGAAAAAATGCTCAACATCACTAAGCATCAGAGAAATGCAAATCAAAACCATAATGAGATAACATTTCACCCCCGTCAGACTGGCTATTATCAAAAAGAGAATAACAAATGCTAGTGAAGATGCAAAGAAAGGGGAACCCTCCTACACTGTTGCTGGGACTGTAAATAGTGCGGCCATTATGGAGAGAAGTTCATGACACAACTACACAAAAGTTCATCATGAACTTATGAAAGTATGGAAGTTCATCAAACAACTACAGATAGAACTATCACATGATCCAGCAATCCCACTGCTGGCTATATACCCAAAGGAATGGAAATCATCATGTCAATGGGATATCTGCACTCCCATGTTTACTACAGCTCTATTTACAATAACCAAGAGTTTAGGAACCAACCTAAATGTCCATCAGTGGATGACTGGATAAGGAAAATGTGGTATATATACACAATGGAATGCTTTTCTGCCATAAAAAAGAATGAAATCCTGCCATTCACAACAACATGGATAAACTTAGAGAAAATTATGTTAAGTGAAATAAGCCAAGACCAGAAAGAGAAACACCGCATGTCCTTGCTTGTAAGTGAAATTAAAAAATAAATACATTTTTAAAAAGAAAGAAAGATACAATTACAATAATTTGTTGCATTTTCAAAAGGAGAGAATAGAATTGAAGCCAGAGGTGGGAAGGGCAGAGGGGGAGGGGGCATTAGAAAAATTGGTAAAGGGCCCAAAAAATTATTCTATCTGTGACGTTGAACATACTTATTATCCTGATTTGAGCATCATAATGCACACAGGTATCAATATTCAATGCTGTACCACTCAGATATGTACAATGTTTCAATAAAAAAATATATAGAAATATTCTTACATTATATCTTGATATCTCATGAATGATAAGAAAGCAGTAACAATATTTGCCTCAGGAAAATGGAAATGAATGGTTTAGAGATGGGGGTATGAGGGAGACTTTTCCACATTATTTTGTACCCAAAATAATTAATTATTCAAGAAAAAATTTCAAGATTTGATATTTTAGAAGTATATATAATTTCCTCGTAAGCATGCTGCAGCCAAGTCTTTGGCTCCTTACTAACGATGCCTAGGAATTACCACTCTGCACAGAGGCAGGTTAAAAAGTTCCTAAGAAGCATCTTTTAGAACTTTAACATATTTTTTCTAAATATATACTCAGCCTGCTTTTATTTCAAACCCTTACATTCTACGCAAAAAAGTAACAGTTTTTGTGATGTTTCTTTCATGGTCATTTCTATGATTAGCTCACATTTTATGTGTTATGGAAAGACACTAAAAGTCCACTACTGGTAACAGTAATGGTGGAATCAAATGTATACTTTAGGTTCACATGAAAAATTTCCTAATACAATACTTTTTTTGAGGAAAGGAGAGATGAACAGGTGGGACTGGAAAGCATTTTTTTTTTTCATATACTCGGAAAAATTGAAAATAAAATATTTCAAAATGGCAAAAAGTTTATTGGGTAAAACTGGATAATAAGTACTATATGGAAATTTAAATTTATCAGTAATTCCTTGATTGCTTATCAAATAAACTCCAAAAAGTTTTTTAATGGTTACATCAAAAGTCTAAACAGAATTTTCTGAGAAACAAATAATGTTTGCAAATAACATCTAAAGCAACTGTTAGCAACTTCTTACCTACATATCAATGGTACCACGGGAAAAAGACTGTGGGGACGGCCATGAAAATGGTTTGTGGACCTTCAAAGTAAGAGTTCAAAATTGCTGCTATGGTTTGAATGTTCTTGTCCCTGCCAAAAATTCATGCTGAAATTTAATCTCCAATACAAAAGTGTTGAGAGGTGGGGTCTTTTGGGAGGTGTTAAGGTCATGAGGCCTTTGCCCTCATAAATGGATTAATGCCATTATAAAAGGATTTGACAGAGGGAGTTCATCCCTTTTTGTCCTCCCACCTTCTGCCAAATGAGGACACAACATTCAAGGCAACATCCTGAAAGCAGAGAGCACCCCCTCACCAGATGACAGCACCTTGATCTCGGACTTTTCAGCCTCCAGAGCTATAAGAAATAAATGTCTGTTCTTTATAAATTACCCAGCCTGTGGAATTCTGTTATAGCAGCAAAAAATGGACTAAGATAATTGCTATACAATATAATCTTTAAAAAAAAATTTTTTTGAACTGTTGCACTTACCAGGAAACTCTCCCTTTCTGCTGCTTTGACCAAACTCCTGAAGCTGAGCTTGTTGATTTATTTGTTCTTTCTGTAAATTTTCATACCAATGAGTTACTTCAGCCCTAAGATCTGCTACCTGGTCACTAGGATACATTTCAATAGTCATCTGAAACATGAGATGCAACCAATTTAAAAATATACAAAGAACAGATATTTGAACTGGGAAATGTTATCAATTTGGAACTTAAAACTATATAACTACCTTGTCAGGAAGTCCAGCTGGCTGGCATACAACCCTTAGTGGCAGAGACTGTTTGTCACTCAGCGCTTTCAAATGACTACTTATGCCAGTGCCTTCAATTTGCCACTGTCTCAGATGATATGCAAACCTAAAAGACGACAAAAACCACAGAGAGGAAAGATATCATTTTAAACCATTTTAATGTCACAGAAGTTTTTAACGTTTTAGAAACTGGAAATGTCCACAACAGGTTCTAGCATACAGATGCTTCTTGACTTACAATGGGGTTACATCCTGATAAACCCATCATAAATTGAAAATATCATAAGTCAAAAATGCATTTAATACACATAACTTACTAAACATCATAGTTTAGCACAGCCTGCCTTAAATTAGCCTACACTTAGGCAAAATCATCTAGCAACACACTACACTGTACAGTTAACGGTTGTTCAGCCACATGATAGCTCATGGGTACACAGCTGCCACTGTCCAAGATCACAAGAGTGTATAATACTTATTTGTACTGAATGCATATTGTTTTCATACCACTGTAAAAGTCAAAAAACCTTAAGTCGAACCACTGTAAGTTGGGGGCTGTCCATATTCCAATTTGATCTACATTACTAAATTTAAGTTCAAATCCATCATATTAAATCAAACGTAAAGGCATAAATATAGCTAAGAGTTCCTAACAAAATAGTCTCTAAGAAAAATTACTGGGGAAAAGATATCCCAGTAAGAACAGTTTTTAAAACGGAGGGGATGGGAAAAGGAGAGGCAGGAAGAATTTAAAAAAAAAAAAAAAAACTAATCTGGTAAATGAAATTAGCAAGCTATCATTTCTACATTTAAAAGAAAGAAAAAAGAAATATTTTTCAGAGATAGAAATATTCTAGTAAATATATGTTAACTAGCCTAACAGAATTTGAGAGTCAATTTCATTAGTGCTAAAATTATAAAATGAATTACAAAGATGCATATTTCAAAGGAAACAGACATTTAGCATGACACTCACTAACTTCAGTTGTTGAAGATAGGATCCAGGGTACCTGAATTTAGCTAAGGAAAAAAAAAGAGCAATGTCTACAACTAATCAGAAATTATAGAAGAGAAGGATAGAAAGCGAATGAACAGATAAGTCTTATTTCCTAGAAGTGATCCAATGTCCAGATTCTATGAGCAAAAGAGTAACCTTAAAACGTTTTCTGTTGCATATTTCAAGACAGGAGATTCTCATCTTCTGCTCCATTGACATTTTAAGCCCGATAATGTGTTGTTATCAGAGGCGGGGGCAGGGGTATGTGGGAAGAGAGGAGGCTATCTTATCCACTACAGGATGTTCAGCAGCACACTGGTCTCTACACATCACGTGCCAGTGGTAAACCTACACCCAACCTGCGATAAACAAAAACATCTCCAGATATTCCCTACTATCTCTAAGAAAACAAAATCACTACTGGTTGAGAACCACTACTTAAGATTGTAACTTACCTCTTTTAAAAAAGAAAACCCTTTAAAAAGGGGGGCAGGAGGTCTTCAAAAAGTTCATGGAAAGATTCTTATTATCTTTTAATTCTATTTTTCTATGAACTTTTTGAAGTACCCTCATATTTACCCTTTTAATATAAGGACTACAAAGAAACACAATAATCTTAAATTAACAGTAGCTCTAAACACACTAAGCATTTGATACTGTACGATGATACTGTACAAAAATTTGCATGAAAATACTCAGATAATTTTTTAAACCACCTCTTAATTTTTTGAATATTCAATTTCATCTATTTCATAGTTTCTATACTAGTCACTCACAAAGTGAATATTTACGTAAATTATTTGACATTAACTTTTAGTGTAAAACAAACAAATACAAAGATTTGTTCAAGAACACAATAAATTTTTTCATGAGTCAATTAGAACAAAGATTGTACATCTGAGAGGGGATTTTGGGACTTAAATTCATTAAAGTTACAAAAACCACTATTAAACTCTTGAAACTAATGTACATTTTTAAACTTTTTAAAGTACTTATTTTAAAAACACTGGTAACACTATACAAGGATGAAGGGTTTGAACCAACAGGCCCTTTTTGGTTTTTTGTTTGTAGACCCTACAGCATATAAAAAATTTTGATAGAATAGGTATTGTATCATTAACTACCTCCAATGGGAAGACAGCACTTACAGATGTTCATTTTCTATATTTTAGTATATATCTGAATTTTATAATGAACATGTATTGATTTTTATAAATTTGAATAAGACATCAGCACATCTGCTTATTTTCTTTTTAAGTGGTAGAAGTCATGAGGCAGAATGAAGTTTCTGTGCAAGAAACTCAAAAGTTCCCTTATGCATTCTTTAAAAACAAGGAATTATTTCAGTAGGATTTTCATAAATTGCAATCATATCAAAATAAAGAATTTTGCAGTGTCCAAATGTTTCAAATCATCAAACCATGTTATTAACAAGGAATGTGTAGAACAGCTTTATTATTCAATATTTCCTGATATTTTAAATAAAACATCAATAATATCAATCTGCATGACTTTTCAATATCAAACTAAGATATGAAGTTAAAAGAAGTTATTAATTTTAACAATTTTTCAACACAGTTCTTAGTACTTTTATATTTGTTCACAGTTAATGATTTTTAATGAACAGTATTTCTTAATTAAAACTATCTACTCACCTTTCATTTCAGTCGATATATTCATAAATGTTAATGTGCTTTATTTCTGTATTACACAGGGTATGTCTAAATTAATTATACAGATATTCATTAATAGAATTTTTTGGTCATGTTTCCATGGTAAATGGAAATTCAAAATTAAAATACTGTCTCCTAGTCCAGGAAGAAAAAAAACAGCAAATGAAACAAATGACTCAACTTGATTCAACTATGAGAGATTATCTGATGTTCTTTGGTGAGAGTTTTAGTGAAACACTTTTGGCAATGGTGTTCTGCCTTTTCAACCATAGTTAATTCTTTCTTAGAGATGGAATTCTGTCTAGAAATTCTTATTCATGCATATCTGCTCAGAGTATAATGATTTTTAAAGCTCTGCAGTATTTATCAGGAACCTATATTGCCATAGCAATATAGTACATATTCTGAATAAAAATTACTTCCATTACTGACCCTTCATACTTTTGGTAAATTATGCTTTCTACCTGTCCCCAACAAAAACTTTAGTTTAATTTTAGACATGTCAGCAATCAAAAGACTGAAATTCTCTCTAATGTTGTGATATTTTAAAAATTACCTTCTCCTAAATGCTTCCAGATGTGTCTTCAACATAAGGAGTCCTCTTTCTATAACCATGAGACTCGAGTGTGATTCCTGTTCAAGACTGCTAGAAGCTATCATAAGACTCTCCATGCACTTACTAATAAATTCTTGCTCCTTCTCCAAACCTGTTTTACCTGAAAGCCAGATGTTTAGAGATATTTACTAATTATATATTCTTGTTTAGCTACATAAAAAAAATAAAATGAACTATAGTTTAACAAAATACACTCACATAAGAAATAACCTATAGGACAATATTTCAAATCACTCACCATTAATATAATAGGAGTTAATGTACTGGATAGCAGCTCGACTGACATCAACAGACTGTGCTCTTAAAGCAATGCCCCAAAATTGGTCCATACCACAGAGCTAAGGAAGAAAAATACGACATCTCTAAGTTTTACTGTCAAGATGTAACTGATCAAAATATTGAAGTATAAAACTTAAAAATTTTACAAAGAGTTTTAACATCGTATATAATACTAAAAAGACAATTCCTATTATTTAGAGTTATTGAATAATAATAAAAAATGATAAAAACCTTGAAAATTTCCTTAGTTAACGAAATATAACTGTACTGGTTCTAAAAAAGAACTTATTGATAAAGTAGCTAACAATATATATGTTTAACTCAAAAGTTACAGCTACATAGTAAGAAAACCTCAAGTCCCCAAAACATACTACAAAGGAATAAAATCAGCAGACACGTAATAATTAGCAAAATGTGTCAATGCTTCCATCTAATTTACACTGATAAAGCCACTGCTTTTATGTGTTCCCAGAAAACTAAAAAGATATGCTAACCCAAGTTCTCAAATTTATAATGATGACAAAAAGAATGCTCTCACTAAAAATGTAGAATAAGTGGTAAGTCAAAGTTCCTAATAGTTGTGCAGAGTGAAGAAAGATATCTCTGCAATGGTGACTGAACAGCTTTAGGGTTAACATCATCTATTTTAAAAAAAGCAGTATTATCTCATACTGCTGAATATTAAAAAGCAGTATTATCTCATGTCTGCTTGTCTAAAATCACCAAACTGAAACTTATCACGGTGATACTGAAGAGTTAGGACCAAAAAAATTAAGACAAAAAACCCAACCCTATTCAAACAAGAAAAGAAGATTGGGAGATACGAGGAAAGCATTCTAGATACAGTGAAATTATTCTTTACCATAATGCGTAACATCAGTTCACTCTACCTTTCTCTTGTTACCACAACACCAACTCCTGAAGAAAACTATGAAAAATAGGAATGGATACTACATAAAATCAAAGCTACTATTAACCAACTAAAATGTCCCATGAGGAAGACTTTCAAATAACAGTCTGTGTTAGGACAGTGCAAAAATAATGAATTCAACAATACCTAGCAACCACTAAAGTAGGCAAACATAACTCTAAGCCAAAGATAAAACCAGCAATTTATGTGAGTATTCACTTAATGAACTGATCATCTTGCCTCATGGTCAGAGATGATTTACGTGGATTCTATTCCAGAAGAGAAATTATTAAGAAGAATTTAAATTGACTAAGAGCATAAAAGTGAGACTTGAGACAAATCAACTTTCTATTTGACATAAAATACTTCCAGGGGATTAAAAGAACACTCAGATGGCCTCTTCTCTATAAATTAAGGAATGTACAATAGGCTTTCATTAAGCACAAACGAAGTTGTCTTTGTTAACAGGAAAAAAAAAAAATCACCAAATTTTCTTTAAAAAAACTTTCTAAAAACAAAAGATAAAAATGCTCTTAAAATCTAAGAATAAAACTATTTCTTACTAAATTCAAGCCTTGAAGAAAGATAATTTGGCAATCTAATCTCAGGAATAAAAGGAAAATTCCACAAGTTGACCTAATAAAACAACTCTAAATGCATACCTCAGAGTTTGAACCACCGTCATAGGCACTGGTAGCCAATCGAGCCAAGTTACAGAGATGTTGAAACAGGTTTAAGCCAGTCATGCTAATCGTTTCAGGTTTTAGCTGGGGCATCTTGGGGAAAAAATTTTCAAGCTAGTTCAGTGTGAAATTAAGTTAACAATTGTATTTAATTAAATTTAAGTAAACAAATTTAATTTTATTCAATTCATAATTGAAACCTGTCTGATACATGTTTCAATTTTTGAAATAAACATAGACCTAAATCAGAGGAAGTGAATAAGAACATTTTATCAATTGTATATCTACACCATACACATTTATGAGATGTGTAGTTACAAGTACAGGTGGTATTAAAGTCAGGGTGTGAAATTTAAAATACCTGAAGTTCACCTTGTAGCTTTGCCTCAGATCTAGTAAGTGATTTAGTTTATATGTACTAAAACTCATTCATATATACTTAATTCCACCACAAAGATAATGTGAGAGTTTATAGCCTTCATAATCTCAAAAAATAAGCATTAAAAAAAAAAGTCTACTGTTTTATTTTCATCGACTTTCAAAATTCAAATAAAACTAGTTCATTTAGGAAAATTACCGCTTGAACGAACTGTGACATCTGGTAAAGAAGAATAAAAAAATAGAACATCTTCACTATCCTGACCATGTTTCCTAAAATAACTTCCCAGGGATGTGCAAATCTGAAAACTGGCTTATCTGTGCCTGGAAGACTGACTGAAACCACAGCCATTTATATAAAGAAGAGTCACAGAATATAGGTCTCACACTTGTGGGTGCGAGCACTATCTCTAAAAATTGGACTACAGTGCTATTACTGATTTTAAAAAACAAACACCAAAACCCCCTCACATTTTTAATTAGTGCTACCCTGAAGAGTTATTCTAATTTTCACTCGTTTAAATATGTTAGCTAAGAAATAGGACATTTTTGTAAATATAAACTAAGTATTCATTTAGATATAAACACCGTAAAGGACAAAATTACAGCAAAATCTGAGTGGCAAAAAATTATATAAAGACTGCTGAAAACCAGTACATTTATCTGCTTTTAAAAACACTATGACAAAAAAAAAAAAAAGAACACTACAGAGTTCATATTTCAAGTGAGAAAAGGAAATATGGAAAGATAATATAATGAAACTGTCAGGAAATAAACTTACCTTCTCCAGGAAAAGATGTTTGTAAGTTTCCATTCCCATAGCATGTTGATCTTTGCTTCGAACTTGATTTAAAAACCAATGGAGTGCATCATCGTAACACTCAGAATCTTCTACTAAACAATGCCATAAAATGTCGACTTGTTCTAAACTTAGCCCTAGATAAAAATCATAAATTTTATATTTTACTATGCAAAAAAATGATTAAACATCTTCTCTTAGGTGTGTCTATAGATAGGCACATAGGTAATTTATCTATTCATACAAAGAATTTACTATCTCAGTAACAATTCCTTATGCCTTCCTGTTTGGAAAATTTTGAATAATGGTTCATATAACATTTTGGTCCTAAATCAGTGTAGTAGAAGCACCAATACAACCAGAAATATAAGGCGATATCTTATAGCATCTTATAAACACACAACTTATAAAGCATTCTAGAAGACCCATTTGGTATTGAAAATCATTCTCCCTAAAATATGAACATATCATTGTATTACAGAAAAAATGACTGAGGAAGATAATCCCCAAAATTGAGGAAACAGTTCTAAGGTTTGAGGATTACAAATAGACACCATGTTCAAAGCTCTTTCTTTGTACATAGGAGAAAAACAATAAATAAGAATACTTTTGTAAACTATACAAAAAGGAATTCTTATGATAAACGAAGCAAAAGAAACTGCCTAAAACAGACAAACAGTAATACATTAGAGAATACAATCAGCTGGGGAGCTAGATTAATGAGGTGAAACCTTTATGGTACTTTGACCCAAGTATTAAAGGACTTCCAGGTGTGGCAGAAGAAAGACAGATGAAGGAACTATTTGGAATTAGAGAAAGCATTATAGGCAATCACAGGTCTAAATGTGAATAAATGAGACAATCCAAACAGAACAAAAGCACCACAGGCATTTCTAAAGTATATCATAATGGGTTCCAAAGCTTGGGATGGTCCCCCAGATGACAAGAGACATGAAGATATAGCAGAATCACAAGAAACCTCTCTCTTTATTGGAAAAGTAGATCAGATTCCAGAATAAGGAAAAATGCTTCAGAAAATATTCACCTAGTAGCAAATGTTCAGAAAATATTCACCTAGCAGCAGTGATAGCAAAATTCTGTAACTATAATCAGTATAAGTTGTTTTATCTTGAAAATAATACCCTATCAGTTTCTCACAAAAAAAGTTAATGATTATTTATTCTAAGAAAAACTTGTGCCCCTAGGAGTTAACATAAATAAACTAGAAACAACCTTCAATATATATTAAAACTTAAACACATTAAGTAATTAAGAAGAGCAAAATAAATGAAAATAGATGAGTTCTAAAACAAACAAAAAAACGTGTGTCTGTGTGTGTGTGTGTGTATATATATCCCAGTTACCATGCAATAACAGATACTAACTACACAGCATCCACTGAACTATATAATAAAATAGAAATGTATTCATCACTGGCTGAATCACCAATCCACATTCAATAGGCAATGTATAAGCTTTTCTTACTGCTCTAAATTTTTAAAAGACTATAGTTATTAGTAAACCGAAAATGAGTATTAGATGTAATTACATATAACTTTGGAGTAAACAAATAGATGATAGGAACTGCACCAATAACAGAAGTATAACCACGTGGGAGAAGTGAAGTTTTCAATTTGAAACTATCTGGACAATAGCTATTGCAAACCCAGAGTCCACACTGTGTAAAATAAAACAAGAAACTTAATGACATGTGAAATTATTTATGCTGAACATATTTGTTTTGGTTTGACTTCCTCTGTAAAAGATCAGTTTTATTATATTTTATATTATTTATTTCTTGTATGCTATCAGTCATAATGAATACAATAAATGACCTAATAACATGAAACAGAAGTTTCCCATCAAAAACAGATGGTTTGGGCCGGCCCAGTGGCGCACTGGAGAGTGCACCGATTGGGAGCGCGGCAGCGCTCCCGCCGAGGGTTCGGATCCCATGTGGAGACCAGTTTCCGCTCACTGGCTGAGCGCGGTGCGGGTGCAACACCGAGGGTTGGGATACTGTTGCCGGTCCCCGATACGGGCGCGACACCGAGGGTTGCGATCCCGTTACCGGTCAGTAAA